TAACAACAAACTCTTGTACAACTTTCATCAATGTGCTTGTCTAAGCTGTTGTTGCTTCGGAGCTCCTATTTCAACCCTATCCGTACATAGTGTTTTATTATCGTATCCATACGACGTGGGGAACTCTGTGCCACCACTTTCCAAAGAGGCAATTTACTCGTTAATCCAATATGTACGCTTTGTATAGCAGTCGGTCAAAATTATTTTTTGAGAAATACTGAAAGTTTCAAAGACATCTTCCAACTAGAACTATTCTACAATGTGAGGTATACAACCCCGGGGGAACAAAATGACCCCAGGGCGTACGGATAGGGTTAAAAAAGAAGTCTTTGATAGTTCAAGAAAAGAAACTTAGCAAATGTTGTTTTGACTATTCCAACTTTGGGGTGACAAGAACCTGGAAAGAACAGCTGACTGGTATAACCCGCTACAGCGATGGACAGACCACAGTAACAAAAACTACACCGCCGCAGGTAATTCGGCCAGTTTTTCTAACCTGGGGTGTAAAACGCTTACTTTAACTCTTCATCTCCGGCAAACCGCTCCCACCCAGTGGCTCGCAGTCGGAACCGCTGTGCCGGAGAGCAGCTGACAGCTGCGGCTCGGACACTTTCATTTATGACGACTTCAACATCAAACTACTTTTCGGCAATTGCCAAAAACAGGTCTCTTTCATTGGGAATCTTTCATCGGGAGTTCACCCGTTAGGTGAAGAACTATCAAAATAGGTTGACTCACTTTGATTTAATGACCCACTTAGTGACGTTTTCGTCATTTTTAGATTTAGTATCAAAGAAGAGGCCTGGCATAGTGGGTTTACCTCCATGGAGATAGAGAGTTTTAAAAAATAAATCAAAATCATTAGATATTGCACACACACACAAAAAAAACCCATGAGCATTAGATTTTATCAGCAAAGACAGAGGGAAAGACACAAAACACTACTCGTGTAATAAAATAAGGGAAAGCAGATTTGATCTTTTTCTTATGTGGCTCTTGTCTCAAACAATGAAACACACATCCAGGCAGAAAGGAAGTGGAGGGTGAGCAGGTAGAGTCAGAAAACAAGGATTGAGTGAGTAGCCAATGAGTGATAGTCAAATTTTACATAACCAGTTTAACCAGTTTAAACAACATGCCTGGGTGATTTTGACAGGAAAAGAATAAAATTTTTGTTGCCAAGCCTCCAGGGAAACAAATCAACCCCTCTTTGATCACACATTGGAAAAAAAAAATGTATACACAAAGATACACCTTCAAGAACTCTTTTTATCTATTACTAAAAATAACAATTTGGCCATCATGTTAAATGAAGGAAAAGATTGCAGCATTTCCATGGCAACCAAAAAGACTGACAAAAACACATGAATTATCTATTGGTTGCAACACAATTAGTATGCATGCAAAATCTGTACATGATAAAATAAATCACACCAATAACCACCTTCTTAAAAAACATAACACCAAATGGGTGTCGTTCATTAGACCATAAGCTTTTCAAAGAAGAACTTTGTAGCATCATCAAAGTCCTTGGAACATATCAGCTGAACATATCAGCTCAATGCTTTGAGATTTATTCTTGGTTGGAACGGGTGGTAGCTCAGTCCACGTAAGTGAATCATCGTGGTGAAATCAGGAGCTCGTCACTTTTTGGACATGTGGAGATATTGGTGGTATCATTTTAAAGCTTGTTCATTTGTCCTTCTTTTGGTGAAAAATATACTCATCTATCATGAATAAAAGTCCAGATATTTGAGATTGAAGGTGGTGGGGTCGTCTGGGTTCAGAGGTTAAGTAAGTGAGAAAAAGGCTGTCAAATTTGGAGACTTCCAAAGCTTGAGAGTTCTTAGAAACTGCAAATTTACATTTTTATGCCTTAAAATCAGCATATTTCAGTTAAATCCACACACAGAATTGTGATTTTAACTGGACCCTAAAGGTGCTGAGCCCCTCCAAAATAATTTGAAAATAATTACCGAACCGGAGGAGAAATGCTGTTTTCTTCAATTTCATTATTTTGACGAGTGCCTGATTCCACCACGTTGCCTCACATAAGAATAACCAAAATAGCAGTCAGAAGCCATGTAAGTCCAAAATGACATCTTTCAAGGAAAACAGAGAGCAAGTGCCATGCGTAACGTGATACAGAAATGGATACATTTTGCATCAACATTATTTCGTAATTTTAGTTCACTAAACTTGCATTGAATTATATTATGACAAAATGCAAAAAAAGTTATAAACAATTCTTTTAGACAAAATTATAACTTGACCTTCTTTGAGATGTACAGGGTGTGCAACTGTTATTGCAGATATAAAGAAGGCAAATTCTTCTCAACGTATGTTAATGCCCTCAGCTTTGAGTTTATATTACATTTTCTTCATCCCTTTTTCATCCGCCTCAGCAAGTTCACCTCTCAGGAATGAATAACTCACTCGCTCCAAACATGGCGTACCGGCATCACAAAAAATTTTTCTCCATGTCTTTTTCATTAGTTTTTGGCAAGATCACGAGCTCACTCCAAACATCATTCTGACAGTGAAGAAGCACTCATTACAATAACACGTATTATACAGAGATTTCTCCTTACTGTAATTTATTTACACACATTATCCATTAACCCTATTCGTACATCATGTTTTACTATCGTATCCATACGACGTAGGGAACTCTGTGCCACCACTTTCCAAAGAGGAAATTTACTCATTAATCCGATCTGTACGCTTTTACATAGCAGTCTGTCAAAATGATTTTTTGAGAAATACTGAAAGTTTCAAAGAGATCTTCGAACTAGAAGTATTCTAAAATGTGAAGAATACAACCCAGGGAGTACAAAATTACCCCAGGACATACGGATAGGGTTAAAAAGTACCCCTTCTGCTCTGTATCATTAGCCTACTTTCATTTTTCATCTATGTATACAATTCAACAGTATAGTACTGTACGGTACTCTGCTGCATCTTTATTTTCCTTTTATATATATATATATACATGTCCAAATCAACAGTAGCATACTGTGGTCTATTCTTACTTTTACTTCATTTATGTTAGCCATTCAACAGTCTAAACTATCCCTCTTCATCATCTCTTTCCTTTAGTCAACATCAGTGTTAGTCAACCTTTTAATAGCCAGCGCCCACTTTTGCCACCTTTTAGTTTTAGAGGCTAACATTTGGGTACTGCCCACCAACACGTGACATTTCCAAACAGGGCATAAAATAACATCTGGCACTACCTGGATGATCACCATCACTCACCAAAATTACCAAATCGCCCACTTGTCGACCATACTGCCCGGGGCTAGCAAGCACTAATCCCTTGGAGGATCGGTTCAGATCAACCCAGTTCCTGGCAGCTTCAGTGCACGCTGTGTAAATCAACCCGTCTTAAACCGAACGTCCGACTTGCAGACTTGAAGACAACAAAGGCGTTTGTTCTTGAAGGTCACCGTCAGTTTCATCCAGTTTGTGCTACAATGGTAGCTTTTCTCCCTCTAAAAAGTTGTTCCCGCATCCCATCCGGACATTGGGGATTGCCTTGTTAGTGAGACAACTTCCTGTGCCTTCGGCATATTGTGGTAGGGAGGCAAGTTCTCCCTCTATAGAGGTAAATCTGGCTAGCCCCTATGACCAAATTGACAAATCGACCCGAACTGATCTCGCCAACGGTGCACAGGGTATAATTCAACAGTACATTCATCATCATCAATGCCTTTTACCCCTGGCAGGGTATAGGCCACATACAAACTCTTTCCATTTATCTCTGTCCTGGGCCATCCTTCCTAGCTCGTTCCAAGTGAGCTTCGTCTCTTTCATGTCCCTTTTCACACATCTCCTCCATGTTTCACGTGGCCTACCCCAGCCTCGTGCTCCCTGTGGGTTCCATTGCAGTAACTGTCTTGTGATGTTTCGGCTGGGATTTCTGAAGGTGTGTCCCATCCAACGTCACTTTCTTAGTCAATACTGTACTCATTATTATGACCCTTATTTATGAAGAGAGGCGAGGAAGCATGGAGCACACCCCCACCCCTCTTCCCGTCTTCCTAAGACCCCAGTTCTTCATTCAAATATTCAAATACTCTACTGTGCACGTTTGCGGGCAAAGGAACCAGAGACGGGGAGGGACACTCTTCACATCTCAAGAGTTCAGAATCTTTCTCATCCAGCACACTGAAGGGCAAAGGAACCAGAGACTATCCCACTCTTCACTTCTCAGAGTTCAGAATCTTCCTCATCCAGCTCCGCGACCTCCAGACTTTGAAGGTGTGGTCATCGCTGACCGTGATGATGACCTCCGGGTCCTTCGGGTTGACCGCCACGCAGTTGACCACGTTCATGTGGGGGAACTTGTAAAGAGAGATGCCGTAGTGTCGGTCCCACAGGTACCCCTGCCGGTCCTCTGCTCCG